GCCTTTTGGTTAAACTTTCAGCAAGGAATTTGCATTTGCACTGTTACATTTTTATAAAGCTTTAATGTACATAAAAACCAGCTTCTTGTTTAAGTGAAAATAAATGGAAGGTTGTCTTTTTATATATATCGTGATAAATATTTTTGGCCATATTGCCCTGCTCTACCACTGAAGTAGATTTGCCTAAAGAGGCCATATTTTACATAGTAAATATTACATAGACTGTATATAAAAGATGGACTTAGCCATCTTTACCAATGGGTTAAACAAGGCTCTGTTCCCACATGGATTGATGACATGTGGGAACAGAGCACTTCAGCTGCATAAAGCGTGCTTTGCCTTGGTTGCTAGCAGGTTGCCGTGGTAACTCATAGTTTGTATGGAAGACACCATCTTGTCTTTAAGCGCTCTCTCCGAGCTGCAGTGAAACTTGAAAGTGAGGCATGACAAACAGAATGTTGGCCTTTAAAGTCAAGGTTGTGCCTTATTGTTGCAACCACAACATTTCAACACGCACAACTTCTACTTTGAAGGCGAACGTCCAGTATGCATCACACTTTCACAGTTTCACTACCACTCGTTTGCACGCGTTTGCAGACAAGTCGGCATTTTTCATGCTAACTACAGGTAACTGCGGTAACCTACTAGCAACCAAAGCGTATTCATAGTGAGGTTTTCAGTGTGGCACCTTATTTCTCTATGCAGCCAGATTCCTGCTAATGAATGAGTGCATTCTGTCCCATTGAAACTGCTGGTGATGAGGAGACTGCAGACTGGTCACTAAGTCTACAAGCCTGATGCTTTACGAAGCCTCAAACTAAACATTTTCGCCTTAGCTATCATTCTGTTTCAAAACTTGATGTTACAAGCAGAGGGTGGAGCTGACTGAGAAACCAAAAACACTTACATGAAAGCCACAATTCACAACCTAAATGTCATGGTGCATTCAAAAAGACTCATAACTATTGCTTGAACTCAAATGTATCAACTACTCAAGTGATTATTTGAGATGTTTTCCAACATACTTTCATACAACCATGTAAACAGAATTATTGCCCTCTGCTGGACATTTAAAAGAACACAGGCTTAAGACATTTCAGCATCTGCTTCTATTTTCAATTTTCAGCTACATGCACAACACGTCAACTTTAACTTCCCGACATTCTTCGTCTTGTATCATTTCTTCTTCAGCCCGTGGCTGTGATCGAGCTTTGGGTCAACGTGGCTATAAGCAGTCTTTCCAGAGAGCCCAATGCATCTCAGTGTACCCTAAAGCAATTTCAAGCAAATATATTTACTTTATGCACATTACACATTCAAGAGCATTTCCACATCTGCCACCACTGCTTCAGATAGGCTCTCATCTTCCCCTTTTAAAAACAAAAAACCCAAAAAACAGGAAGCTGTCATTCTGTAGAGAGGAAGTCCCGACGGTGTTGGAAGTACCTGTTCTGTTTTGCAGAGCCTGACTTTACTCCCCGCCAGGGACACCAGCACTCTGCCTTTGTAACCGCGGAGCTCCAGCAAGCCTCGCTTGTTTGTGGAGGAGGCGTGAGGGAGGGTGCCGGAGCGCTTCTGGGAGCCACAGGCGGGGGGGCGCGTGGCCGTCTGAAGAGTTTCCATCCACTCCTGGCGCTCCCCTGTGGACACGTGCATGAATGAGAGACAGATACGAGAGAAAAAGGGAGGCAGATGGTGCATGTGGATACAAGTGTGAGCGTGTAAAGGAGTGAATACAAGAGGGAAGGAAATCAAGAAAAGCCAGGGAGAGAACCAGACAAAAAGAGATCAGGGCATCCTAAAGTCTTTGAATCATAGTGTTAACTCATCATTTTTGCATTTGTTCTGTGAGCTACATTGGCTCCTAAACCTCCGCTGCATACTGATACAGAAAACTCCAGCCTGAAAGGAAAAGTAATTGAAACACAGGATGAGCTACAATTGGTGAAAATTAACTCAGCCGCTGGAAGGAGAAAAAAAACCCACTATCCTGCAAAGCTGAAAAGTGCTAGCAGTGGAGATACAGATAGCTGCTTCTCAGAGATTTGCAAGCCTCAAGCAAAATGTGGCGGGGATAATTTCAGTCAAGACAACACCTAATTAAAATATACGATAAAAAGAGAAGAAAAAAAGGTACAGGTTTTAACGAGAAGCAGCCACACTTCTCTGAATACTCTAATTTGTCTCAAGTTTGGAAGAAAACAAAGAAAGTCACAAAGAGGAGTGACTATATTTCACAGAGCAGCTTATCTTGGCTTTAAGAGTATCGCTTCTTCTGAAATTCTTATTTTGGGGTTCAAATTGTTCGTCGATGTCCAAATCCTTATCTACTGCCGCTCAGGCGTTTCAAACGCTCAGTTTCATGAAATGTGATAACCACTTTAAGTTATTAATATCTTCAAAAAAACAAAAAAAGCTGCCATGTCATTGCATCAAAGAGAGACTTAAGAGGTTGTTACTTCCACATGCTGACCACTTTTAATGAACAGCAGCTACTGCTACGTTAAGATGATGAACGACTTTGTTGAGGAGAGCTCTGGATGAACAAATGCCAAACATAAATGAACACAAGCAAACGGGCCAAAAGTCCTCCACAAGCAAGTGAGACAGTGATAAAGTCATGCAGAAAACTAGTATTTCCAGTAAATTCATGTCATTGCTACTAAAAGTGGGGCGCACTTTTTCACAGGATTGCAGGATATAGGAGTCCTATAGCAGCAGATAAACACATTAATCAGTCAATTTCTTATATTTCTTGCTGTTTGGGGATTTGATAAAACCACAAAAGAAGACATTGCAGATTGTCTCGCAGCACAACGCAAACAAAGGAATCTAAAGCTTTACAGGCCTTAGACTCTTCGGGTAGCTATCATTAGACAATTGCTGCTGGAAAGACGGGTTTAGCAAACAGTCAATTGTCCCATCAATGGCACATCTAACGCAGTTTGGAGTCTTCAAGCAGTGTCCTTGAGCGGGACAGGACTTACTGTAAATCCCCCTGGATTACTGTGCAGATAAATGGCTCAAACGTTGTGTGCTCCATCATGTTCCGCACAGGGTTTACATTCAAAAGATGTATTCGAAAGGCCTCTCAGATATCTTCCTCTGCAACTTTTCAAGCAAACATAAAAGCAGACATGAAGCACACGCTGTAAAGCCCATCCCTCCACCGCCCAAAACACGGTGCTATCAAAGCCCGCAAAGTGGAAACACAAGAAATACCAAAGGACTGTAAACACACACAAAGACTCGCATCACAGGTCCAAAGCAGAACCCACAGCGGTAGCTGTTCTACACAAGCCGGAATAAGAAATGCATTTAAAAAACTCTATAAGCTGATATGAACACTATGCAAGCAGCAATGCTGTCCTCTAAAAAAGAATTTATAAGTTACTGTATGTTTTTGAAATATAAATATCCTCCAAGTGAAAATGTGCAAAGCATCAACTCATCATACGAAAAGCAAAAAAACAAAAAGCAGCACTGACAGCATGACAGTTTATCGGAATATAATATGATTAAATGATGCTCTCAGAATAACCACAAACATTTGTGTGTGGTCACAAAGGGGGCGTCACACCGCCCCTTTCAGGAAATGTATTTTTGGATACCTCACGCATGGGTTTAATGTGCTTTGCTCAAATGTTCAGGATAAAGAAACACCTTCGCTTGGTGTAACATCCTCTCGGCTTGCTTTTTTTCATCCGTTACATTTCTTTGCTAAGAACAGGAAGGAAACTGCACGAATCGTGATATGAAAGTTATTGCAACAGGAAATGCAGACTAATGAAAATGCTTGAAAGAGGTTAACAAACTGCTGTAGCATGCCAATGAACGAATTTTATTGATTTCCTTGATGGGAAAATTCATCTTTTTCCCTTTTTTGCCAAATCTCGTTTTTTAAAAAGTAGAATAGCCTGGAGCTAGCGGGGACTCAGTGTCTCCCTCGAAGAATGTCAAAGTGAACAGAAATCCAAAGAAGAACAGCGTGTGCTGAACCAGTGAAGGAGAGGAGGCTCACTGACATCTCACTGTTTGGATGACTAAAATTCATCTAAACATACAATTTTTTAAAAATAATTCAAAAAACGTAAGCTGCCATATATCCCATACATAACGTGTAATATTTCAAGCCTTTTTATAGTTTATTTTTGATGATTTAGAATCAGAAATCCTGTATCTCAAATTATTAGAGTTTGAGTAAATTAAATATTGTGAATGTCTCAGTCTAATTCAGCACTCGCAACCAATCATAATCACAGAAAAGACTGCTGATTTGGACAGCATTTGTCCAAATGACACGTATCAACACCCTTCACACCAAGGGTAAGCTATGGGGGGGTCACTGCTGAAGAGGCTGGCTGTTCACAGAGAGCTGTACTGAACCATAGTAATTACAAGTTAACTTGAAGCGAAACATGGGGTGAGAAAAGCTGCAAAAGCAGCAGGGATGACTATGGCCTTGAGAGGACCGCCGAATAAAGTTGAGTCGAGAACTCGGAAGAGATTTATGCCGAGTGGACTGAGGCTGGAGTCAGTGCATCAAGAGCCTCCATGAGGGAAATCTTCAGGAAAACGACTGTAACTGTTACAAGTGAGGTGCTGTGTCATCTGCTGGTGTTGGTGGCATTTGGTCAACTGTGTCAGTCAGCGCAGCAAGCGTATACCAGGAGGTTTTAGAGCCAGCCATGCTTTCATCTGCTGAAGAACTTTATGGAGATCCTGATTTCCTTTTCCAGCAGGACTTGGCACCTGCCCAGAGAGCTTGTGCTCAACTGGCCAGCCAAGTCATATGACCCTAACCTTACAGAGGTTATATGAGGTTCAGGTTGGTACTTGACAGTACCTCACAGAAAAGCTGTGAGGTACTGTCAAGCAGAACATAAGAAACACCAGAACCAAAAATATAGATGAGCTGAAGGACACTATCACAACAACCTGGATGGTATAACTCAAGTTGGACTTGAAACATCTTTTTTTTTTTTTGATTGATTGATTGATTGATTTAACATTTAGAGATACTGGATTTTCACAAATAGTACATACAATAACCAAAAAAAGTGATTTGCAACCATGTTAATAGAGCCTGACACATTTATTACCTGATGTATCGTATCGGCCAATAGTAGCTATTTAGTTTCAAAACTGCACACTGGAGGATACTCTGCAACTTCTCAGTTAGCAACACACAACAATCGATTGATGTAAACGAGTACATAAACACACAAAAAATATACAGAGAAATCCCCCCCATCCCAAAAAAACAGATCTTTTGATTTTTATATCAAAAGATCGACATCAGAGTTTAACACCGATATCAGATTTTTGATATCGGTGTTAAAAAGGACAGGCTCTACAAGATACAAAAGAACAGTTAAGTAAAAGTGATACAAAAGATTGATACAAAAAGGAAGGCACTGATAACTTGAGATTTACACACAAAGGACAAAAAGTGAGGTACAGTGGTCCCTCGTTTATCGCAAGACTTGCGTTCCAAAAATAACCCGCGACAGGCATGAACATGTTCACACTTTTCTCTCTTGTTTAAACGCTCTCAAAGTTCAAGCCTTCTAGAAAAACAAGTCTTATAAAGAATGAAACCAGACACACCTGCGGTTGCCTTTGAGGGTGCAAAACGTTTCGTGGACATTGTTGTGTTTGTTGGGGAGAAAACTTACAAACACACAGTGCAGCACTTCAGAGTCACACTGCTAGAGATCGAAGATTTATGTAAATTTGACAAGCTGAACGCACTCTGTACTGGACAGGAGACACAGCATGAGATTGATTGACAATGGTCTACAGCCAATTAGGATGTAGAACACTATGCGCTGTAAAAAAAAAAAAAAAAAAAAACATGGAAAAGTGCACAAAAAAAATCAGCGAAACAACGAGGCCACGAAAGTTGAACCGCGTTATGGCGAGGGGCCACTGTAAACCTTTTGCTAAAAGTATGGGCAAGCAGGAAGTTTGTTGGCTAAAACAGTGTTCGGCTCATCTATAGTTTACTTGGGTCACTAATTGAGAGCTGGTAAATGGAGTAGTAACTGATAGCAGATGCATTCTTGAGACATTTTTGCCAACCATGACTGATAAATGGTACAGTGAAAGTAGTCCAGTTTAAAGAAAGAGTTCAACTGTACACTTTTGAACATGAGGCACAGTGAAGATGAAGGGGTTCTTGAATCCATCTGACAGGGCTGTGGGTGTATGTCAGATGAAAAAGGTCGGTAACCACTGACACACACCATAGAGTGAGGCGTATGTGATGGAAAGACTGACACTAAAAATATTCTTCAAAACACGGAAGCTGGTCAGCGAACCACAAAGCCCACATACTTCCTTTTTCTGTTCAATCTAATTTGCTCAAACGAGCTCCAAGTTCATCTTAATCGTCAGAGCAAAATGTTTTTGGTACCCTCTCTTGTCACCAGATAAATCATTGTGGAGCATCGCCTTGCTCCGGAAATTTTAAAACGGACCGTTTTACACTCACGCCCATGCTCACATGACACAGTGCGCGCTCCTGTTCACGGCGTCTTGCTATTCCAGTCATCTCCAGGTGGCAGGATGGCAGAAAAGAAGACTGCCTGCATTTATGTCAGCAGTGCCGGTTTCTGAGTAAAAATCGAATTCACTC